CGGCAGCGAGAATCGGTCAGGATCCGAATCGGAAGCGGAATCGGGCCATTCCCTGCCTTCCCCTTCTGCATTGGACTTCACCGCCAAGCCCAGTGTTCCTGCTAAAGCTGCTGCCCCATCGAAACCAGCAGCAAAGAGGCAGCAAGATACCCAGACAGAGAAAGGGAGGAAGAAGCCCAAGATTGCAGAAGAAGAGGAGAAAAAATCAGCTGCTACTCCTCGCAGTCTATGGAGCGATGACGACCAGCTTGCTCTACTCAAAGGTATTGCTGAATACAAGGCGGTAAAAGGTATGGAACCTAGTGCCGATATGTCTGTTTTTCATGAATTCATCAGGGGGAAGTTGCAGGTTGAAGTTTCAAAGAGGCAACTCCGTGAAAAGGTAAGGAGGTTAAAGAAGAAATATTTGACTAATGTGAAAGATGGTGAGGAGCCAGTTTTCATGAAGGGTCAGGATTTTCTAGTTTTTGAGCATTCAAAGAGGATTTGGGGTGCCCCTGGAACTAGCAATGGAGTTAGCACTAATGGCACAGCTAAAATTACTGTTGAGGTTAAGAAGAGTTCTGAACCTAAGAGAAGTGCTAAAGTCAGCAAACCCAAGGATGATGAGAAACATGTTGTTGTAAAAGAGGTGGTTAAGGAGGATATAATTAAGGGTGATCAACAGGATTTCCAGTCCGAATATCCACATTTGACTGCTTCATTTGAAAGTATGGCTGGCATGTCTACAATGTATCCGAATGGAACAAATTTTTTAAAGGAGAAGATGAGTTTGATTGCTAATAACAAGGCTAAAGTGTTGGAGAAGAAGTGGAAGAAACTGGAGGATGACGAAGCTGCCTTGATGGTGAACCGCTTAGATTTGATTGCGGAGCATTACAGATTGGTGGTCGATGCAATGAGAGGTAACTAGATGCTGATGGATCATGTTCTATTCGATGCTACAAGTTCTGATACTGTTTCGGTGGAGTTTTAGATTTTGTTTCATAGTCTTGTTTCTCAAGACAATTTCTTCTCGCGTTGATGTACTTATGTTTAGTCCGCGAGGTAGATTTAGTTTATCAAGTTGATTCATACATTTTATTGCTTAATTAGTTTTACTAGTGAACTGGTTTGGATGATATCCGCTGTGTTGCTTCTTATATATGTTAGTGTGGTATGGAGTGATTGGCTCTATTATGGGGTTGCAATGAAATGCCTACACATTCCTATCATATAATGCCGTGTATGGTGGAAGCAAGCTTAGGAATAGCTTAAGTGGAATGTCTGGAGACATTCTGGTTCATCCTTTGTAATATGTCATTTCCTAAACCAGATGGAAATATATTTAAATGCGATCTTTCTCAGTTTTTGCAGCTTGTGTTGATTTACTTTGTTCTCAATCATTGTTCATGCCAGCTTATCATACCGGTTAATTGATTTGGGGAGGGGGTGGTGGGTTATTTACAGTTTCCTCGAGATATTTCTTTTGGTATAGAGTGCAATGTTGTTTCCTGCTTCTTAGGTGTTTCCTTTAACTGCTTATTCTCTATTCTTTCCTACTGAAGATATTCTGCAGCGCATGAATACTCACACAACCTTTTATATGTGTGTGCATGTCTACACACTTGCATTTATCTTCATTCAATCAACTATATTTCAATTCTGAAATCATTGAGGTCAGTTATTATATGAATTGTCAATATCCATTCGTTTTGTTCAGGTCCATTGCATTCCTATACTGATTAATTAGGTCTTAAAAGACAAATTAGGGGTTTCCTAAATCTCCCACACATTTCTATGGTATCTATTGTCTAGTTTAATCTCAACTGTTTGGCATAACTAATGCAGATCTCTTGGTTTGATTGTGTTCTGTTTTTAACCAAGTCTACATGGATTTCAAAAAACTTCAGGGATTGTAAACTATTTTTTCCGTGCGATTTTAGTTCACCTTTTAAAAACCTTAGTTATCGTGTTGTCAAACCTATAAACCAGTGTATTTTGGAGGTCTTAACACATGGGGAAGACATCGAACTTTATCTTCTATATGTGCTACCTGCACTCTATTAGATGTAATAAGTTCTGGCATTTTCTAATTTACTTGTGTCTAAAAGTGTCGTCCAGTTTTATAAGATCTTAAATTTGTTTTAATATCAGTTCTTTGACAACATTTATCTTATGAACATCTTGAGCATCTTAGAAATGCAATTCACTCTTGTATAATAGTATGTTATACAATCATTCTATCCTGAATTATGTTTTTATCGCATGGAACCGCTCTAGGATTCTTTTGGTTTCAGCCCTCCTTATTTGGCTCTCTCTGTCATACCTTATTTTCTTGGTAGACTCAAAATAGATATCTAAATTGTTTATGTTGAGAATATAATCAAATAATAAAGGTATGCTCTCTCTAATAGCTTAATCTTTTAGATGAAATTGTCACATACTTACATATGGTATCAGAGCAGGCAGAGGTCTTGAGATCGATTATCACCACCACCCAAATAATCAAAATGAATTTCTATGTGCTTGGCCCATTTAAAAATCAAACTCGTCCGCCTGCACGTGAGGGGGTGTTGAGAATAGAATTTAATAATAAAAGTGTATTCTCTCTAAGGAGAAGACATTGTTGGAGCAGGTAATAAGTCACCAAGATTGCTTTGTGCACCTTTATATGAGTTGGAAATACCAACTTGATTAGCAAGTTCAGTAGGAGGTTGAGGTCGTCGGAAATAGACCTTAAGATCTGGAGATGGAGTTGGGGTTGGAATAGTTTGAACGAGAAGGATTGCTATGGCCTTCTGATTTCCGTATTAGGAGAAAAATACGGAGATGTCTCAAGAAAAGTAACATTCGTAGAGATCAAGCACTTATTGATAGAGGGATAAAAGCCATATGTAACCTTTTTGTAGACTAGAATACCCGAGAAAGACACATTTAAAGGTCTTGTGCTGAAGTTATCAATTAAAGTAACAAAATAATGAAAGCCTAAGGAAAAATCACAGGACTTGCACCCCATATATTTGAATGAACGATTTCAAACATAGAGGTGGTCCGTTTATTGACGCGTTTTGGGAAAGAGGCACGAGTGTGCTTACCAAGCTAACACGACTAACATTTTAACGAAGATAAACTAGATAAACTTGGGACCATCTTTTGCAATTTCAAGAGACTTGGATAACCCAATTGACTATGGAGCAATTCAGAAGAAACAACATATAGTGTTGGGATAGAGAGCAGGTACAATCCCTGTGACTCATGTCCTTTTCCAATCACCTGTCCCGTACTCTAATGTCTAATCCTACACAAGAACAGAATCATCAAAGAAGGTTACAACACATTTCAGGTTTTCTATTAATTTGCTAATAGAAATAAGATTATATGGACATTCAGGTGCAAAAAGGACTGATTTTAAAGGTATGGAATGATTTTTAGAATATAATTAAATAATAAAAGTGTGCTATCTCTAACAAGTTAAAACTTTTTATTTTGATAACCGAGAAATCCGTCTCTGACCCACCCTTTTGACCAATCACAACCTTCTAAACTCGGTGGATGATGGGCCTGCCCCTCTACCCTTCTCCACTTAATATTGGGCTTCACTTTGCATGGTGTGGGCTTGAACTTGCTACCTAAGCCACAAATCCTCCACCCTTTGCCACTCGAGCTAGGCCTTGGGGGCTAACAGCTTAAACTTTTAGATGAGATGGTCACACACTTCAATAGTTTCATTATGCACCATAGCTCCATCTTATGGAACAATTTTAGCTCTGAAAGATGTTTCTTAGAGGACATCTCAGTAATATATAACTAAGGTTTATTTATTTCTGAATAACTTTAGGTATGTGGTGCTTAAATTATATATGACTAAAGTTTAGCTTTACTTAAGTTTAAGCCAAAATGATTCAGTTAATTCTTATGATTAAAATTCAGATGAAAATGAATGTACTTCAATTATATCTAACTTCAACTTTGAACTTATGCATTCTAAAATTATTTTATTAAATGAACAAATTTATAATTTTTTACATGTTATGAATATAACTTAAATGATAATTCTATATTGGGCATCATAGCATATGGAGATTAATGCAATGTGCATCCATAAAATGTGTTTAGATATGAGTTGCCTAATGTATATGTCAACTATGGTTGTTATTGACATGTTTGCACATTTGTTTGCTGATACCTGATTACTATTTTCTGATGAGTATTAGCAATTTCGTTGCAATTGAAGTAGCCTTATTTTTGTTGAGAATACAATTTAAGTAATTAAAATGTGCTTCAAAAAGCTTATGTTTTTAGATGAGATGGTCATGAGACGGTTACACACTTTAACAACTTTCATAAGAGGTAAACTTTTAGATTATTTAAATGAATTTGTGTTTTCAAGTAAGAGCAGGATTTAACCTACCTGGTCTTTGCCCAAAGTTCCTGAGGTTTTTCATTTCCAAAAGTTTATAGACTAAGCTATTAGTAATAAAAATGGCTGAAATTTGGATGTTCATTGGAAATAAGAATTGAATCTGTATCTATAACAAAGACAATGCGGAAGAATCAATAATATTCCACCTTGGAACTTAAATACGGTGTTTTCCTGAAATCGGTAACCTTTTCAACCTATTCCTTTAAACTTATTTGTATTGCATCAAAGGTCTTTTCCTCGCACGAGCATTTTGAAGATCATTGTGCAAGAAAAACTGGAGTCACCTTTCTATTTCCCCAAGCCAGCCTAGCCTGTAAATATGTATTCCCAAGCTGTTGCTTCTATCCAGCAAAATTTCTTACTTTGTATCTTTTTCCAACTAGAATAAGGAAAAAAACATTCTGACACACTTTTGTAGTCCAGTTCTCTGTATCTGGATTCGGACAGTTCAATTACATAGGCTAACAAGTTTCAGTGCTGCAAGTTTAGTTGTTGAATGTTTTGATTCATTGTCCCTATACTAAGGCCATCAAATTTGAATTTTCAAAAGATGCAAGATGGAGAAGCATATGTTGCATCATGAAATTCACAAAAACAACGTTATGTTGGTATTAGAACTTACAGCTCTCACTTAATTCTTGCTTTGGCAGAATACTATTACTTGATGAAATATTCTGTATGCAGGCTGAGCTAGTATGGATTCATTGCAGGGAAGAGTTAGAAGAGGGTACTGAAGCTGCAAAATTTCTGGAATATTATATTCAACAGATAGCAACAGGAAGTTATAGTTACTTAAAACAGGATATAGCTTTGTTGCGAAAAAGAACCTTACAAAAGGCTATTGAAGATTTGCCTCCTCGAAAATAAGCAGATTTTGTTGAAGTGCTTAAGTAGGAAAAATGTTCCAATTCATGTTTCTGAAAGCTTTTGATGCATTCAGTACTTGCTTACGAAGAGCTTTTTTCACAATTGTCAAGCGTTCCCAGGAGGTACCTAAGAAAAAGAAGAAGCCATTTTTGCGAAAAAAAGAAGGCTCTGAGAACAAGAAAGAAACCATTTTTGCCAAATAAACGTGCTCCAGTTTCATCCCTCGCTCCATCTCCAATCCCTGCAACTGTTCAGTCTCCCACTCCCTCTCCAGGTCCTGCAGCAGTTCCAACCCTTGCTCCATCTCCAGGTCCTGCAACTGTATCACCAGTTTATGCTCCAGTTCCTTCTATTGAAGTGCCCACTAGCTCTCCTCCAGCTGTGCTGCCTCCTTCTCCAGTTGTAAAACCTCCTGCAAAGCCTCCAAAACTTCTAACTCACACCAATTCTTCTAAACCTTTGCCTGTTAATCCTCCAGATAAACCACAAAATGGTCCTAATTCTGCGGGAAATAATCAAGAGCATCGAAATTATTTAATTGCTGCAGTGGCTGGATGTTCGGTTGCAGGAATTGCCTTTTTAGCTCTGTTGATATTCTGTGTTAATAATAAAAGGAAAGAAATAGCTCCAAATGAATGGGAAACCGCCTCTGAATTCAAATGCAGGTGTCTATTTGCTGCTATTTATCATGATGGTTAATTAATCTCATTGTATCATTACATTTCATTAATTTGTATGATTTGTATTGTCAGGTTCTTCTCTAAATGTCAAGAGTGCATCTGCTGTAAATGATGCTGATCCTCATAAATCTTCTGAAGCCGACGTGGAACTGTCAAAACCTGATATGAATGCAAATGCTCATGCACCAATACCACTTCCTCCTGGAAAATCTGCACCTCCACCTCCTGGTCCCTCCTGGTTCTCCTCCTCCTAAACCACCTGTTCCGAGCCGACCTCCACCTCCAAAATTTTGCCCTCCTAATCCACCACAACCTGGTAATTTGCCAAAGCCTTTACCTCTTGGAGCACATCAGAGAAGATGTTCTTCTGAGACCGGGGGAAGTGACTCATTGGGTGAATCTGACGCTTCCTAAAGCAAAATTAAAACCATTCTTTTGGGACAAGGTTCTTGCTAACCCTGAACACCTATGGTTTGGCTTGAAATAAAAGCCAGCTTGTTCCAGTAAGCTTCGCACTGATCTTGCTATTCACTTTGCTCCTGCGAGAGTTTAACTGTTTCTGTTTTTATCTTTCTGATTGCTGAATTTTATAACAGGTTTAATGAGGAGATGATGGATTCTTTGTTTGGATATTTACCAGGAGACCAAGGGAAAAATGATCGAAGAAAAGCTTCCTCATCCTTTGATCAAACCTCACAGTACATTGAGATTATTGATCTTAAGAAATCACGAAATCTAGCAATTCTCCTCAAAGTCTTAAATGCGACAACAGAAGAAGTTTATGATGCTCTCGAGGAGGGTAAATCTCTCTCTCTCTCTCTCTCCCTCCTTATGGTGGCTTTATGAATCCTGTTAGAAATTCCATTTTGTTCCATTTCACTCCAGTACTTAATATTTTATCCTAAAGGACGGTTTTTGGATTATCTAATACTAGAGGACCGTCCGTCTCACATTGACCCTACGTGATATCTATGTCTCTAATAAAACTAATAGGCTCTTGGCAACCACCTGAGTAAATATAGCATCAATATGATCCCGACTAGTTGGTATCATGTATACACTATACGTATGATTTGATTCATTTTGTTCTTGTTAGAATAGGAATAAGTAATACAATCCTCCTTAGAATAGGAATACAAATAGGAATAGGAATAAGAATCCTAATCGTTGAAAGAGTCTAATGTAGTGTCTATAAATAGAGTCTCAATGTTATAATGTAGATACACAATTCAGTAAATTCTATTTCTCACATGGTATTAGAGCATTGGTGAGAAACTTTAAGTCAGCGTGTCAAATTCCGGCGACAGTTGAGGCTGATTTGTGTCATCTTTAGTTCTAAAGGTGTTGTGCGAAAATCAACACCATCACGAGGCTCGAGAAGCTCAAGCGACCAAACCCCAGCCAGAACCATCGGAAAACAACCCCTCACGCGTTCTCACATGCCGTTCGAAGGTGGAAGTTTTCCGGCGCGATCTGAATCACACACCGGCGGAGGGCTGCTCCGGTCATTTATTTCGAGTTGTTTTTCTTCTGTTGGGGTCATCCAGTATTTCCGATCAAAACCCATCCAGTTTTCTTCGGATCTGATAACTGGAATTAGGTTTTCCGGCGATTTCCAGGCTGTTTCTGGCAAGCTCCTGGTGAAATCGGAATTTTTCAGAACTTACAGGCACTATAGGCAGACTCTAGCAGTTTCCAGCAATTCAAGTCTCTTACTATTTTTAAGTCAAATTTAGAAAAATGTCTTTTGGGTGTGATGTTTTTGGCTTAAAAAATATGGGTATTGGAAGTTCAAGCCCTATAACTACTTCAGAACCCTTAATGGTAAGTTCAAACTATTTGGCTTGGGCTTCCTCAGTTGAGTCGTGGTGCAGGGGTCAAGGTGTTCAAGATCACTTAACAAACAATGCTTGTGTGGTAGATGGAAAGACAATCTAGTGATGAAGATGCAAAAGTCAAAGCATAATGGGAGAAAATGGATGATCAATTATGTAGTATGACTCTCTATTGTTTCAAAGTTGATTCCCTTGTTTCACCCATTCGAGACATGTTATTCAGTTTGGGGAAAAGCACGTGCTTTATACACTAATGACATATCTAGATCTATGATGTGATATCTTGAATGACCAACTTAAAGAAACAAGAATCTTATATGTTTACTTACTTAGGACAGGTACAAGCAGTCATGGAGGAATTTGAAACGTTGAGGCTAGTCACTACAAACGTGGAAAAGCAGCAAGAGCATAGACATACATTATTTCTATATCTTACACTCGTTGGACTCCCTACTGACCACAATTCTGTGCGTGACTAGATTCTAGCTAGTCCTATCGTTCCTACAATTGATGAATTATTCCCTTGTCTACTTCGTCTTGTTGCGTCTCCTAGTCACAAAATAGTTTAATCACCCACTATTGACTCCTCTATTCTCGCATCTCAAACCATAGAAAAATGAACATATTAGTCTATGGACAATCGGCGAGGAGGAGGACGTTTTGGGAAACCTTGATCCTAGTGTAGTTATTTTCATGAACTTGGACACACTCATGACATATGTTATACTTTGGATGGTCCACCACCCAGCTATGATCCCATTACTCTCAAGGAATATGATGAGCTCTTTCAAAATTGAGAAGGTAAGCACATATCTCCTAAAGTATCATTTGTTGCTTAGCTTGATCGACTATCCAATAATGCTCATATTGCTCAGACAAAATGTAATGCGTTCTTTCAATATCGAGCAAGTAAGCAGACACCTCCGCTAGTGGCTTCGGTTGCTCAACCTAATCTTTCTGTTGTGGGTAATTCTTTTGCTTGAGTTTCACAATCTAGTTCTCTTGGATTAGGGGTAATGGACTCGGGCGCTTCGAATCATATTTCTGGTAACAAATCACTTTTGTCTGATATTATTTATTCACAATCTCTTCCTCCTATTACTTTAGCCAATGGGATCCAAACAAAACCAAAAGGGGTTTCAAAAGCCAAACCCCTATCTTCTGTCACTCTCGACTATGTTCTTTATATCCCTGGTTCTCTTTTAATCTGGCATCTGTTAGTCGTTTGACACGTGCCCAACATTGTGGCATAACATTTTTTGATGATTTTTCTCTCTTGCAGGACCACAGTACGAGATAGATGATAGGCAGATTGAACTATTTTTTAGGTTTTGAGATTGCTCAGTCTAGATTAGGTATTGTTATTTCTCAATACAAGTATGCCTTAGACATTCTTGAAGAGCCTAAATGATGGGATGTAGATCCATTGACACTCCTATGGATCCAAATGTTAAATTCCTTCTAGGACAGTGGGAGCCACTTAGTAATCCTGAAAGTTATAAACGACTTGTTGGAAAGTTGAATTATCTTACAGTGACTAGACCTGACATTTCTTTCCTTGTGAGTGTTGTAAGTCAGTTTATGACTTCCCCTTGTGATAGTCATTGGGATGTAGTTGTTCGTGTTTTGCGATATATGAAATCTGCTCCTGGTAAAGAACTACTCTTCGAGGATCAAGGCCATGAGCATATCACTGGATATACATACGCTGATTGGTCAAGATCACCCTCTCATAGACGTTCGACATCTGGATATTGTGTTTTAGTAAGAGGTAATTTGGTGTCGTGGAAGAGTAAGAAACAAAGTGTGGTCTCGATCTAGTACAGAATCAGAATATCAAGCAATGGTTGCAACAACTTGTGAGCTAGTTTGGATCAAACAGTTGCTGAGAGAGCTAAAATTTGGCGAAATCAGTTAGATGCAACTTGTGTGTGATAATCAAGCATCCTTTCATATCACATCAAATCCAGTGTTTCATGGAAGGACCAAGTATATTGAGATTGACTGTCACTTTGTCAAAGAAAAGATACTCTTAGGAGATATTGGTACGAAATTTTTGAAGTCAAATGATTAGCTTGTAGATATCTTCACTAAGTCCCTCACCGATCTTCGTATTAATTATATCTGAAACAAGCTAGGTACATATGATTTGTATGCACCAGCTTGAGAGCGAGTGTTAGAATAGGAATAAGTAATACAATCCTATTTAGAATAGGAATCTTAATTGTTAAATGAGTCTAATGTAGTGTCTATAAATAGAGTCTCAATGTAATAATGTAGATACACAATTCAATAATATTCTATTTCTCACATGATATTAGAGCATTGGTGAGAAACGTCAAGTCATCGTGTCAAATTTTGGCGACAGTTGGGGCTGATTTGTGTCATCTTTCATTCTAAAGGCGTTGTGCAAAAACCAACACCATCACGAGGCTCGGGAATCTCAGGCGACCAAACCCCAGCAAATACAAACTTAAACATATATTAACATACAAAGTTCAATTTTATTTTCAATATCAAAATAATAATACTTGAAAAATAATATTAACAAATATTACTTAAACATATATTGACATATAAAAGGTCAAAACATGTATCTTGTTTGGACCAAAAGAATTAACATATATAAAATAATTTTACTTTCAAAATTCGAACACTATAATATTTTGAAAATAATGTTAACAGATATTATTTATTTTATTTTTTTTTATTTTTTTTTATTTTTTTTTATTTTTTTTTATTTTTTTTTATTTTTTTTTATTTTTTTTTATTTTTTTTTATTTTTTTTTATTTTTTTTTATTTTTTTTTATTTTTTTTTATTTTTTTTTATTTTTTTTTATTTTTTTTTATTTTTTTTTATTTTTTTTTATTTTTTTTTATTTTTTTTTATTTTTTTTTATTTTTTTTTATTTTTTTTTATTTTTTTTTGATAACCAAGAAATTCATCTATGACCCGCTCTTTGGACCAATCACAGCCTTCTAAACTCGGTGATAATGGGCCCGCCCCTCTACCCTTCTCCACTTAAATACCAGGCTTCGCTTTGCTTGGTGTGGGGCTTGAACCTACGACCTAAGCCACAAATCCTCCACCTTTTGCCACTCGAGCTAGTCGTTGGGGGCTATTTATGTATATCTTGTATATGTTATTTGTATGTACATATTTTTTTTTGAGTAGCGACTCATTTTTTTAATTTGACAAGAACTAAACAACTGGTTCTATTAAATGTAGATGTCAATGCTACTATTATAAATTAAAAGAACAGGAAATCCAAACTGTGAATCCAATCTGGCCCATTTAGCCCGTTAACTACACTAACAAAGGTATGATTCTAAGACGAACATCCTTTCCCCCGGCCCCATTCGCACCCCTTAACATTAGCTACGGTTAGCTCGAGTACAATGTGACCACATTTTTGTGAATCAGATTGTCCCAGCTTGACTGGATGATATCCTTACTTCAATGTTCGAACTATAAGAATTAATAATTTCATTTATGACCAATAAAAGTTATGGAATAGACATTTATATTCAAAATATACGTAATCTAAGAATATGGTAAGTAATTTTATTAAATTTTCTATTTATTGATACAACTTCTTCTGCAATCTCGGGCTTCTTCCTCCCTTTCTCTTTCTAGGTTTCTTGCCGCCTCTTTGCTGCTGGTTTCGATGGGGCAACAACTTTTGCATAAACATAAGGAAGAAGAAAAACAGGTTGCTGTAAAAGAGGTGGTTAAGGAGGATATAGTTAAGGATGATCAACAGGATTTCCAGTCCAAATATCCACGTTTGGCTGCATCTATGGCTGGCATGTCTACAATGTATCCGAATGGAACAAGTT